GCATGGAGGGATGCAGCAGCTGAGGACTCTAGATTCATGGGAAGCAAGGGACTGAGGGCAGACAGCCAGGAGGGTAGCTTGCAGAATGTGCCCTTTGGTGGTTTAAATTATTATATATGCCTGAGTGTTTAAAAAAAAAAAAGCTAAAATTTATAGAGAGAAATACTGTTAACTGATGGTACATGGAGGGGATTATAATCATTGGAATGAAACTAGTTATATGATTTGTTGAATGTAAAACTGATGATCTGCCCTGTAAACTTGCACTCAGTTCACAATAAAAACATTTTTTTTTAAATGACAGAATTGTATATAGTTTTAAACCTGGTCTTTCTTATTCAATGATGAATAATGAAACTCTTTATATAACAGTAAATATGTAGGTGTGTGTTTGTATGTATATTTACGCCTGGATAATACTACTTTTCATGCATTTATCTTACTTTCACTAGTTCCACATTGTTGAATATTTGGCACTGCTTGTTTTTTCTTTTTTACCATTGTAAAGAATTATGAATAAATATTATTTTACACTTGTACAGTTAAACTTCTAAGAATAAATTCCTAGCACATCACTTGTTGGGAAAACTCATATTTTCAATTTTTAAACTTTGCTATATAATCCCAAATTGCCCTACAGAAAGGATGTACCAGTTTGTACTCTAGCAAACATTCTGTGAGTTTTCCTGCTTTCCATACCCTGACCAACTATGGATATGCATTGTATTACAATTGAGATTGGGCATATACGAATGTGTGTTTTAATATATATTGGCACGTCTTGCTTTCCGAAGTTTTTAATTTACAGGTTTTTGAAAAATACACATAGTACCCTTTTTCATCTACCACATAAATTGTAAATATCTTCTCAATTTATCACTTGACCTTGTTCACAGTACATAGAAATTTTTTAAATTTATATGCTAACTTGTCATAAAACTTGTCCATTATGACTTTATGACATTTTTCAGGGTTTTTTTTGTTTTTGTTTTTCATGTGTGTCTTAAAATAAGAAAAAAGGAAAGCAAACACCTTTCCCTACTCCAAGATAAGAGTCGTGGTATAGTGCTGTAGGATAAGCGCTGGACTGCTAATTGCAAGGTCGGTGATTCACACCCACCAATGGAAACCCTACATGGGCTCACTATGAGTCAGAGTCTACTTGATGGGACTTAACAACAACAACACTCCAAGATAATGCATAATGTTTACCCATATTCTCTTCTAAAAATTTCATTGTCTTTTTAATGCATTTTATTCTGATTCTATAAGGTTTTTTTTGAAGTATCTGCAGTATGACAGGCACTTTTCAAGACAATGGGAATTCAAATATGCACATACATGGTCTTTAGAACATTTATGTACATGCCTCCAGGTTATAGATGTTTACAAATAATCTCATAACTAGATTACATGTTTCATTAGCTAAGACACCCTGACTTTCATCTTTAATACCAGTGGTATGCATCTGGCATGTATTCGAATACTTGTATCCATTTACTGAACATATAACTGTTTAACAAAAAATAACTAACAGTAGAGTTTATAGTTTATGTAATATACTTAGTATATCATGGTAAATGAAATTTGAGCCATATTGGTGAAGGATTACTGGTATTTAACTAATTTTAAAAAAACTGAAATCCCTGCGTGCATACTGAAAACCTGAAGCAAGAATTGCTTATATTTCAAAATGTTTTAATGAATTAAAAATAACTAAAGGACACTTAACTGACTATATGAACAGATGAATAAATTTAAAAGTTTCCCAATCAAATTGGTTAATGTATCTACATGATAAGGTATATTGGAAACAGAAACTCTTTAGATGACTGTAGTGATACTTGAAGAATGATACAATTATGGCTATAAAATGTGCAAACAGAATCCTTAGTTCACTGCAATTATTTAAGAGATAGAAAGTGAGTCAAAGAAAGCATTCTTAGTTGAATGCTTAATATTTGGTAAAATTATAAGTTAATATTATTTGTGTTAGTGTTCTGATCTAAATATATACCCAACCCCGCAAAACCATGCATATGTTCCCCAAAAGACATGTACAAGAGTGTTTACAGCAGCAGCATTTGTAAAAGCAAGAGACTAGAAACTACCCGATTACCCTTTAACTAACAGTTGTTGTTGTTAAGCACTGTTGAGTTGGTTCCGACCATAATGATCCTGTACAGGGTTTCCAAGGAGCAGCTGCTAGATTTGAACTCTGCTGATCTTGTGGTTTCTCAGTCTAGTGCTGATCCTACAGTATCACATCAAGTAAACAAAATTATAGCTTGATATAGTGGATGGAGTCCTAGTGTGGCACTACAGGTAAATACACTGGACTGCAAGGTCCATTTGAACTGCAAATCAGTGGTTCAAGCTCACCGGCCACTCCTCGGACACTCCAGAGTCACTATGAGTTGGAATTGACTTGATAGCACTTAACAACAAATACAGGGGAATATTGTATAGTAATGAGAGCAAATGAACATACAGCAACGTAAGTGCAATTTGTAAACATAAATATATGCAAACATGGAGACTACACTAAGTTAATATACAAATTTAAAAAAACACAGAAACTGTCTTCTGTATAATACCATTAAGTAAAAAGAAAGGAAAACTCATCTTTCAGGTTAGAAAAACAAATCTATAAGATGAGAGATCAGGGTCCTGACTATCTTTGTGCTTTATAAGAATCACAAGGAGGCCTTCGGAGGTGCTAGACATGTTTTACATTAGTGGTGGTCACTTAAAAGTTTTATGCACTTTTTCTGTAAATATGCTATTCTCCAACTAAAACTTAAAAAAAAAAAAAGATTTTGTTGTGGAATAACTCATGTTTTCCTTAAACATATTTCATAGAAAGCATCTGCTGAGGCCTAAGAAAATGGTACAATATCATGAATGCTTTCACTAAAAGACTTATGCAAATAAAATGCAGGTGTTTAGTAAAAAATTAAGCTTATATACTACTACAATTTATAAGAATGAAGAGGTTAATGGGACTGAAAAATGTGTTTTCCTTTTTCACCTAAGAACTTAATTTGATTTTTTTATAAATGAGTTGTTTCAAAATTTATCTATATGTAGTATTATGCCAATTTTAATGATTCTGTAGTTTTACCATCAAATATAATGATGACAAAAGAGCCAGTAGAAAAATAGAAATCATCATGCAACAACTGATTAACAAGGAGAGGAGAAAAAAAAAAAAGTTGTTATTCGGTTTCTCTTTTGGTCTCTTGATTGTTTTTGTTTATTTCCTTGCCTACAGTCACACTGTTTTTGGAGTTCTGGAAACAGCGCCAAGTCAAACTGGAATATGAGTGGGACATGGTAGACTTTGAAGAGGAACAGCAGCAGCTTCAGCTGAGACCTGAATTTGAAGCTATGTGTAAACAAAGGAAACTGAATGAAGTGACTAAGGTATAGTAGGAAACTGAAATGGAAAGAGTATTCAATGTATGCAGTGCTATGATTTGCCTCTAAATAATGATGAGTGGTTTAATCTACCTTAATACATAAGTCATATGAACTCTAATTGTTTCTGGAAAAAAAATACACACACACACTAAAAATCATTGCTGTAAAGTCAATTCCTATTCATGGAGACCTTAAAGTGCAGAGTGGAACTGCCCCATAGGGTTTGTAAATCTTTATGAAAGTTGGTAAATCTTTATGAAAACAAGGTGCTACGTCTTCCTCGTGTGGAATAGATGGTGGGTTCAAACCACTGACCTTTTGGTTAGCAACCATTTGCTTAACCACTGTGCAACCAGGGCTATACCTAATGTCCCTGTGTATATATCTATGAGAATTTCTAAACATACAAAAGTTAATAGAACAGCTTAATGGACCCCATATACTGATTACCCAGATTTTAGAATTATTAATTTATAAAGTCTTGTTTTGAGAGGTAGTTTTTGCCTTACAGTCCTTCTGCAGTAGTTAAGAATAAGCAGAACTCTCACATTTGAATCTGCACTAGGACTACATATACACATGTGTACAGACTTACATATGTGTACATACAAATACATTTACACATGCATGGGCACACACGTAAATGCATGCATAAAAACTCACATAGCCTGAGGTTTTACAGAGCTACTAGACAGCCTACTCTGTGGGTTGAGTTCAGTTTGCATTCACTTTACCTGGAAAATCCTTAAAATGTGAAATACTACATAGTCTATAGAAACACATGACTAAGATTTCTTTAAATAGGTGTTTTTCATTGTATGACAGTCTTCATTAGGGTAAGATCAGATTCCTCTTGTAGTTCACAATGTCAGCTAATTTAATTGTCATCTTCTATTAATAGAGTCCTGGTGTGATGCTGTAGGATAAGCACTGGACTGCTAACCACAAGGTTACCTGTTCAAACCCGCCAGCTGCTTCTTGGAAACCCTATACAAGGTCACTATGAGTCAGAACTGACTTAATGGCACTTAACAACAACATTTTGACTGAAAAGCCTAGAGAAGGAAGGGTTGGGCTTCCAGATTGTGTGGAAGAAGGGAATATATCCTGTAAAAATATAAAGAAAGCACCCTGTTTAATTTCATGCAGAGCAATTAATTAGAGTATAACTGTACCAGCATTGAAGTATGTTTACTTACATAGCAACCCTTAGGTTTTTACTTGCTTCTGTGTCTACCAAGCTATCAATACCACTCCAACTCAGCACACTCAGGAAATATTGTGTATCTTATAAAATGTGTATCTTATCCATAAGATCCAAAGGTTTCATCTGAAGAGACAAATGACTAGAATGTACCTTCCCATGAATTGTAGAATGGCCTTTTGGAAGGTTCTTGCTTTAGTGGATTTTTAGGATTTTAACTACTACTCAGAGTTCAGCACTGATAATGAATTTTTAACTTGCCTGTGTTTTCAAAATTACAGGAGATGGAACCCTATATGCCTCTATATAGCCGTGTTCCATGGTATGCACTCTCAGGAGCAACAGTGGTATTGTGGGTAAGCATTGCTTTAAAAAACTTTGATCATTTCTTTAACATATAACCTTCTTTTGTTAATTTCAAGATTTCCTCTCATCAGTGATTGGTCTTGATTTCCCCTGCTTTGGTTTTTCTTTTCTTAGTTATATAAACTAATTTACATGGATTTGACCTAATTGAAACTTGGGAAAAGACAGAAGGGGGAAGAGAGGTGCTTTATCTTAGTCTTGATTTCTCCCCACTCTTCATATAATTAGATCATAATGTGAAACTATAACACAATAACAAGCCTACATTGATTGCAGGCTCTAGTTAGTTGTTTTATTTAAAACAAAACCAAAAAAAACCCACTAGCTTATCTCCATTCCAAACATCTGCACAAAATGATTCAATCCATGCTTTTAAAGTTCATACTCTTACTCATCTAAACAGAAAAAAATGTTTCTTTTTATACTTGACGAGCTTAATAAACGTATCCCATTGTTAGGGAGTCAAGTTGTCTCCTTGTCTTTTACAAATAGATTCTTCCATTACCATAATCTATTTCCTAATCTCATCTTTCCAATTTTGTGCTGATTTATTATTGCTTCTTAATTTTAGGAAAAGATTCAGTGTTATGTAGTCATAGTTATCGGACTGAAGTATAAATTTTTAGCAGTTGTAAGCTACAGTTTAACATTATCAGTCATATTCCCATACTTGTTTATCTTTAATATTCCTTTGTAACGCTGTTGCTTTTTTAATTTATTAGACATATGTTTATTTAGATGATATTACAATCATTGAAGACAGGTGGTAGGATAAAAGAGTGCTATGATCAATTTAGAACACTCCTTGAAAACCATTGTATATATTGTGGTCCCAAAGTGATTACTCTGTTTAGATTTCTAGTTCCCAACTCAATCCAAGATGGTTTCTCAACTTTAAAATCAAATTTGCTCATCATTGATATAAAATCTCTCGATCTTTCTGCTCTTGCAAAATGGAAATTGTGTATAATTTATACCAAATCTATAAACATATCTAAGTCCTCAGTTGTATCAAATCACTGAAGGCATTTTGAGACTAAATGAAATAGAATATTTACATTTATTATTCTTGGAAAATAAGTAAGCTCATACTACTTTAGCTACAACCCAGTGCAGAAGGTGACAAATGTTTTCTGTAGTGAGCCAGATATATTTTCAGTTTGTGGGCCTCTTGTCATTTTTGGCACATTTTCCTTATTTTTATTTACAGCCTTTAAAAGTATTTTCTTAACTAACATACAATAACAGGCCATAGATAAGGATTTGACCTCTGGCCAGTTTCCAAATTCCTGACACCTATCCCACAACCAGGGGTCACTGAAGATAGATCTAAAGCATGAGAAATTGTTTGTTTGTTTGTTTGTTTCTATTATAGACTTAAACATTTGTTACCATATGCCTCATCTATAATTTTGTACATTACCAGTGAATAGCTCCTATCTTCTCTGATGACAGTACACTAGCATGATTTGCTTTGCTAAGTTTAATATAATGAGATGAAGAAAGTTGTATATACCATTTCAGATAGGTATGCATCACAGAGGGACAGGGATCAGAGTGAACATTTCTTTCTCTTCCCCAGATGGCTCTTGTCGTCGCCTGTATGATAGCTGTGATTGTGTACCGCCTGTCAGTCTATGCTACATTTTCTACCTTTATGGAATCTGAAGCAACCTTAAAGCCCGTCAGCAGTATACTTACTCCCCAACTGACTACATCACTCACAGGATCATGCTTGAACTTTATTGTCATCTTAATCTTGAATTTCTTTTATGAAAAGATATCTGCCTGGATCACAAAAATGGGTAAGCTGGTTGTTGTTGTTGTCATTCGTAGTTGTCTTTGAATTGGTTCCAGGTCATAGTGACTTTATACACAACAGAACAAAACACTGCCCGGTCCTGCACCATCCTCACAATAGTTGTTAGGTTTAAGCCCATTTTTTTGCTGCCACTGTATGAATCCATCTCGTTGAGGGTCTTCCTCTTTTCAGTGGGCCTTCTACTTTACCAAGCATGATGCCCTTCTCTAGAGACTGGTGCTTCCTGACAACAAAGATGAAGTCTCGCCATCTTGGCTTCTAAGAAGCATTTTGGCTATATTTCTTCCAAGACTTGTTTGTTTTTATTTCAGTATTTTTCACCAACTGGGTTGAAGTGTATCTTTCCCACAAAATATGTTCCAGTGTTAAACCCAAGTGCCTATTACTGTAACCTGATTTGGAAACAGAACCTTTGCAGATATGAATAAGTTAAGATGAGGCAATACTGGATTAAAGTGTTCTCTACATGCAAAGTCTTAAAAGTTGAAAGGAGAAAGAGATTTTGGATACAGAGGCATGCATATGTGGGGTTGGGGGAAGCCATATAATAACAGAGTTGGAAAATTTCAGTGATACATCCACAAGTCAAAGATAGATACTTTTGGATTAACCTTAAGGACATTATGCTGAGTGAAATTAGTCAGTCACAAAAGGACAAATATTGCATGAAACCATTATTGCAAAGGTAGATGTTGTTGTTCAGTGCCGTAGAGTCAGTTTTGAGTTGTAGTGACCTTGTATAAGGTTTCCAAGGAGTGGTGGATTTGAGTCACCAACCTTGTGATTAGCTATCCAGTGCTTACCCTATAGTGCTACACTAGGACTCCGCAGATTGATAGTAAGTCTTCTGAGACTAAATCTTTATACACTCATCTTTTTCCCATAGAGCAACTGCTGTGTTTGAATTGCTAGTCTTGAGGTTAGTAGTCCAGTGTTTATCCTACCAGAAACTGTGAAAGAGGAATAAAGCAGATTCTCTCCTAGAGCCTTCAGAGGAGCCTGACCCTGTCAACACTGATGACAGACTTACTAGTCTCATAACCATGAGAAGATAAATTTGTGCTTTTCTAAGCATCAGGTTTATGGTAATATGACTACACTGGCCAAATTCAGCAGTGTGACACTAAAAAGGAGTGCCTACTGCTGCTCTTGCCAAATTTGGATCATCTCTCTGGAAGTTTCTTGTCAAAGGTCACATTTTCAGCTAGTTTTGGTCTTTGGGTAGCTTCACGAATCCCAGTACTTCCAAATCCCATAACACTTATATTTAGCCCCCATTAGAATGGAAGCAAGAAGATAACATAAAATGGACTAGGACTCTGCAGAGTTTTTTTGGGTTTTTTTTTCCCCTTAATACTCTCTTGGAGCCCTGGTGTGGCGTTGCAGGTTAATGCGCTGGACTGCAAAGTCGGTTTGAACTGCAAGGTCGGCAGCTCAAACTCACTAGCCACTTTTTGGAAACCCTATACAGGGTTGCTATGGGTCAGAACCAACTCAAGGGCACTTTGACAACAACAACAATTGTATCTTGGTAGAATTAGTTAAATCCTAAACTTAAGTCCTCACTTTTCTCAGAACACAGATAATTGTTACTTTATGTGTATTAATACGTATGAAAATACTGTGGAAAATGTGTATTGTATGCCTTCCAACAAAACCACAC